GAACTATCAGAAAGATACATTAAGAAAATAATTTCATTTACAATTGCATGAAAAAGAATAAAATACCTTGGAATAAACTTAACCAAGGAGGTGGAAGGCCTGCACACGGAAAACTGTAAGACACTTATGAAAGAAATTGAATAAGACACAAATAAATGGAAAGATATTCCATTTATGTATTGGAAGAATTAATGTTGTTAAATGTCCATGCTACCCATAGTGATCTACAGTTTCAATGCTGTCACTACCAAAATTCCAATGGCATTTTTCACAGAAGTAGAGCAAACAATCCTAAAATTTGTATGGAACCAGAAAAGACCCCAAATAGCCAAAGCAATCTTGAGAAAGACCAAAGTTGAAGGCATTGTGCTTCCTGATTCCAAACTACATTACAAAGCTATAATAATCAAAAAATTATTGTATTGGCATAAAAACAGACACACAGATCAATGTAACAGAATAGAAAGCCCAGAAATAAACCCATGCATACATGTTCAATTAATTTATGACAAAGGATCTGAGAATATACAATGAAGAAAGGACAGTCTCTTCAACAAACGATGTTGGGAAAACTGAACAGTCACATGCAAAAGAGTGACACTGGACTGCTATCTTACATAATACACAAAAATTAACTCAAAATGTATTAAAGACTTGAACATAAGACCTGAAGCCCTAAAACTCCTAGAAGAAAACATGGGTGGTAAGATCCTTGACATTTGCCTTGGTAATGATCTTTGTTGGATTTGTCACCAAGCAAAGGCAACAAAACCAAAATTAAAAATTGAGACTACATCAAACCAAAAGGCTTTTGTGCAGCAAAGGAAACCAACTGCAAAATGAAAAGGCAACCTATTAAATGGGAAAAAATAGATGCAAGTCACATACCTGATAAGGGTTTAATATCCAAAAAATAAAAGATTTGTGTAACTAAATAGCAAAAAACACACAAAAATCTGATTAAAAAATAGACAGAGGATCTGAATAGACATTTTTCTAAAGAAGATATACAGGGACTTCCCTGGTGGTACAGTGGTTAAGAATCCGCCTGCCAATGCAGGGGACATGGGTTTGAGTACTGGTCCGGGAAGATCCCATATGCTGTGGAGCAACTAAGCCCATGTGTCACAACTACTGAGCCTGCGTGCCACAACTACTGAAGACCATGCACCTAGAGCCCGTGCTCCGCCAACAAGAGAAGCCACCGCAATGAGAAGCCTGCACACCAAGTAGCCCCCGCTCGCCACAACTAGAGAAAGCCCATGTATAGCAACGAAGACCCAATGCAGCCAAATAAATAAATAAATAACTTAAAAGAAAAAAGAAGATATACAGATGGCCAACAGGAATATGAAAAGGTACTCAACATCACTAGTCATCAGGGAAACGCAAATCAAAACCACAATGAGATATCACCTCACACTTGTTAGGATAGCTGTTAAATGACAAGAAAAAACAAGAGACGGCATGGATGTGGAGAAAAGGGAATCCTTGTACACTGTTGGTGCGAATGTAAATTGGTGCAGCCACTCTGGAAATCAGTATGGAGTTCCTCAAAAACTTACAGATACAGTTATCCTATGATCCAGCAATTCTACTTCTGGCTGTTTAACCAAAGGAAAAGAAAACACTAACTCAAAAAGATATTCTGACCCCCACATTCCTTGAAGCATTATTTATAATAGCCAAGACACAGAAGCAAGTGTCCTTCAGTGGATGAATGGATAAAGAAAATGTGGTATATGTATAACTTGGAATATTATTCAGCCATTAAAAAGAAGGAAATCCTGGGGCTTCCCTGGTGGCGCAGTGGTTGAGAGTCCACCTGCCGATGCAGGGGACACGGGTTCATGCCCCGGTCCGGGAAGATCCCACATGCAGTGGAGCGGCTGGGCCCGTGAGCCATGGCTGCTGAGCCTGCGTGTCCGGAGCCTGTGCTCCGCAACAGGAGAGGCCACAACAGTGAGAGGCCCGCATACCGCAAAAAAAAAAAAAAGAAGGAAATCCTGGCATTTGCAACAGCATGGATGGACCTTGAGGGCATTATGGTAACTGAAATAAGCCAGACAAAGAAAGACAAATACTGTATAATCTCACTTGGGTGGAGTCTAAACAAACATACAAGCAAACTCATGGATACAAAGAGACTGGTGATTCCCAGGCAGGGTTGGGGGTGGGCAAAATGGGTGAAAGGAGTCAAAAGGCAATCTTCCAGTTATAAAATACATATACATAAGTCCTGGGGCTATAATATACAGCATGGTGGCTATAACTAGACACTGTGGTGATCATTTCACAATATATATAAATATCGAATCATTATGTTGTACACCTGAAACTAATGTGTGATACGTCAATTATATCTCTAAAAAACAAAACCCAAAACCAGACAGGGGAGCAAGCACTGCTACTTTGTTTTTGTTTTTTTGGAGGCGCCATGCAGCTTGCAGGATCTTGGTTCCCCCACCAGGGACTGAACCTGGGCCACCACAGTGAAGGCGTCAACTATTAACCACTGGACCGCCAGGGAATTCCTGAGTGCTGCTACTTTTTAAGGGATGCCAGAGAAGCTGGAAAAAAAGTCAGCTAAATTGTTAAGTCCTAATTATGTTAGGGGAAGGGACAAACTCTAGACTCAAGATGTAGAACAAGAAATGTGCTGGTGAGAAGTCTTCGTACCTTGAATGGGAGAAGCATACATGCAACAAAGGAGGCTGAAAAACCATGTAGGAATTGTGACATTACTATATTACTATGGCAATACAGATAAATTTAATCAAGCATTTAGGAAACCAATTATTATGTTACTGATTTTATGAAGGAAAAAGTCAGTGGCTTAAAACAATATAAACTTCTTACCTTTAGTTTGTGCAGGTCAGGAATCTGGGTATGGCATAGCTGAGTCCTTTGACTCTGGGTCTCTCGCAAGGCTGCAGTCATCTCAAGGCTCAACTCGGGGAGGATCTGCTTCCACAGTCACTCAAGTGGTTATATTAACAGGGTCCAGTTGCTCCTGGGTTATCGGACTGAGGGACTTGGTTCCTTGCTGGTTGTTCGTTGGACACCTTCCTCAGTTCCTTGCTATATGGGCCTCTCCATAGGGCAGCTCACAGATCAGAGCAAGCAAACGAGAGGAGGAGAGAACGAGCCAGACAGGAGCCAGAATATTTTTTGACATTCCATCACTTTTGCCACATTCTCTTTGCTAGAAGGAAGGCCCCGGGTCCAGCCTACGCTCAAGGGGAGGCAGTTTCAGAGGGTGTGAACACCAGGAAGCAGGATCATCTGAGGCATATTAGAAACTGCCAACCACATGGGGCAAAACCAGGGACTGACGTTGCCTAAGGCAGAAATATTTGACAGATACATGCTTGTATCCCAGTTGAAGGAGGGTGTACATGTTTCTTACCTCACTTGCTCATGTTGAGTGTTATGCTAAGAAAAATGGAAAAAGTTGCTAAAAATTGAAAAGGTGATCTATGAAAAGGATGTGGTGAAGGAGGTAGCAGACTGGAAAATAAAAACCAAGGACTAAGAGAAAAATGAGAAAACTATTATACAAGGAAGGTACGGGGCCCATAAACTAGAATTTCTACTTACGCATTAAAATATTCTCCAACGACCCAGGAGATAGGACCAGACAAATGGAACAGTTTCTACAATAAACTACCACTTAAAGACACCATAGAGTTCTAAGACAAAATTGGACTGACCCTATCCACCAAAAAATACTTGCGAAGGGAACAAAGTAACACCTCCATACCGGAATGTGCCACTGTAAGAAACTTCTAGAGACAACTGGCAAAGACTCCCTTACAATTTAAAATGAGCAAACTATATGTGCAAGCACTTTGTTTCCTTAAAAGGAGTCTGACGCAATATTGTAAAGCAACTATACTCCAATAAAAATTAATTAAAAAAAAGAAAAAAAAGGAGTCTGAAAGGAGGAAAAAAAATCACAAGTTGAGGAAAAATAATTTAGAAGAGGCTATCTCTTTCCCAATATAGGCAGGCCTGGTGGTCTGTCCCCTGCCCATCTCTCAGGCCACCTCTCCCCTCACTCACTCCCTGGCACCTCAGTCCACAGCCACACCTGTCTCCTTGGCTGTCTGTAAAACACCAGCTTCTCCCCAAACCTCATTTCATTCAGGTCTGTTCCCAAACGTCACCTACCCTGATTGCTATCTAAAATAGCATCTATCTGCCCCATCCTCTTACCTATCTCTGATTTTTCTTTACAGCAGTTACCAGTTCCTGACATTATACGTTTCTTTCTTTACCTGTTTATTGTCTGACTCTTCCACTGAGGTAAAATCTCTATGACCTGGAAAAGGAAGCCGTTGGCTCTTTTCGACAATGTCTGTTGGGTAAATAAAAGAAAAAAATAGAATAAGGAGAGCCCATAAAAAACACGTCAGGAGAAGAGCCTAACAGAAAGCAGGAGAAAAACCTGAAGCACAAGCAATTACAATTTGCCAGATATGTGCTAATATAAATATATTTGTGTGTAATATGTGACTTATTTTTTAAAAATCCTGAAAGACTCAAATGAGCTAAACTACTTGAAAATATTTAGGACAGTACGTAAATCGGCGCTCCCAGCAGCACTCTCTTCCTCCACACGCGCGCGCTAATTTCTCTGGACTCTCAGGCGACTAAGCGCACCCTCCCTCTTATAAAATGTATTCTTGTCGCTATTTGATTGGCTGTCCCTCCCAGGCGCTCCTTCCTCATTGGTTGCACCCCCAGTCCATCACTCCTGGGCTCAAGCACTCCATTTGTCTGCTGCCGCAGACCTCGGCTGCTGGCGGTAGTAAAACCGGAGTAGCTCCCCGGTGACGTCAAAGGCGCTGCCCGCCCACATTCCAAAGCTTGGGCGGAGACTTCTCGCTGCCCCTGCCTCTGGACGAAGAGAAAGACTTCTGATTGGGTAGGGCGGGAGAAGTGAGCATCCGATTGGTCCCCGCCCTGGAGGGAGGAGGAGACATAGCTGTGTCCTGGAGCAGAGCTGAGGAGCCCTGGGGAATCTCAAAGTTTGTGTCTGGAGCAGTAGTGGAAAGTGAGCTTATTGAGAAGGGCTTTTCTTGGGATGAGTACTGATCTCCTGCCTTTATTTTGGATACACACCCTGCTCTATTCTCCTCAGCCTTCGGTCTGATCTCTAGACAGTCTGTCTCCTCTGGGGATTCTCAGGTCTCCGAGGACGCTGAACCGGAGCCCTTGGCAATTCTCTCTCAGGCAGAGGAGCGAACGTTTTCCTTTCCAAGTGCATAAGCTACACGCATACGCACACACACGCACACACATTCACGCAGAGGCGGATCTCGCCCTCCGAGGCCGCCCTACCCGCTCCCCTCCTGCCCTCAGCATCCTCGGCCCAGCGCGCCTCGGACCACCATGGAGGTGCTGGAGAGCGGGGAGCAGAGCGTCCTGCAGTGGGACCGCAAGCTGAGCGAGCTGTCAGAGCCCGGAGAAACCGAGGCTCTCATGTATCACACGGTGAGGACTTGGCGGGGCGGCGAAGGGGCGGCTTGAGAGGGGGAAGTGTCATGAAAGGAACAGCTCGGGACAGGGAACTGGGAAGGAAGCATTTGGGAAGAGCATGCCCAGAATGGAGAGATCTGGGGAGAGGTGTGGTTTTTCTAGCTGAACAGTGAAGGTGGGCCGCTGTCTCTTTTAAACTTTTGATAATAGTAACGACGCTTTGTATTCCTTTTCCCCGAGGGCTTTTCACATATGCTATATCATTTCCTATTGCGCTGTAAAGCAGGAGAAGGCGTAGATGTTTTGATAATCTGCCTCTGTTTAGTTTGCTACTACTTTTTGTGGGAAGATTTTTTAAAAACTGGGCAAAATAAAGTAGCATTTTCTTTCCTTCGCTGTCATATTCTTTCCCTTCCTTTACTATCTTATTTGAATTTTAGGAAGTATACGTGTGTGTGTGTGTGTGTGTGTGTGTGTGTGTGTTTTGAAAAAAGGCCCCTTCATATTAGGAGGAAGACTACTTTATTTGGCTCCTTTAACTGTTCAGCCAAGAAATCTGCTTCCTCCTTCTTCAGAGGAAAGATCAGCAAAGGAGAATGGAAAATCTGAGGCAGTGCATATTTCAGAAAGGCTTTGGAGAAGGTGGGACAGCTCACCAGTTCCTTGCTCAGTCTTATGCCTCAGAGATCCCTTTGGGCATTAAACTGTCACAGAGCACACACATTTCTTATAAAGTTTTCAATTTCAAGATTTTGGTATTAAATTTGCAAAATGAAATTTTGTTTCCAACAGCCAGCATTGATAATATGACTTTATTGTGAGATCTCTTTGTTTCTTTTTTTACAAATGCAGAGTTTGTATAGAGAGAGACACTAATGAGAAAATGAGAGACTTGGCTATTTCCCCTTCATGATTCTTTTAATGGAGTCAGTGCCAGGATATTTGAAACTTTTGCAAAATGGCCTGCAGGCTCCACCCCTTTGGCCTTTGCCTCTGGCTGACGTTATTTTGGGAAAAGGGATGAGGGCCTCCCTGTGATTCCCACCAAGGCATTTGTGGTGGCTGAGAATGGCTTGTTGAAAACATGCCGAGTGCAGGGCAGAGAGGTAGTGGAAGTTCATGCCGGGTCAAAAGCCAGATGTGTGGTGTGATCTTCTGGGCTTTGCTCACTGAGTCTGTCCCGAGGACACCACATGGGCTGCCTTTGGATTGGGGACCCAGATGTACTTCCCGTCGCCAGGACAGAGCTCAGAGAACACCGGGCGTCAAATATCTTCTCATAGTATCTCCAGATGTTTCTCCTGACATAGGCCACATTTTAGCCATTTGCGAGGGGCAGCTCTTCTCTTTTGTTCTGACAAGTACTGTGAAAATGTCTCATCCCGCAGCTGTAATGCTTTGGGTTGTCTTTCAGCTGGTGGGATGAATTATGCACAGCATCCACATTCCCTTTCTCAGGCCTCATGACTTGCATTTCTGAGATCTTATGCCAGGGTTTGAGATGCTACCCGTGACTGTGACATTAACTTCAGGCAGGACAGCTTGGACTGGCTCTAACTGACATCTTTATGCACAGTTTCAGGGGTAGAGACCTTACCTTCCTTTTGGTAGCAAGGGCTTAGTTTTTCTATGTCATTGTAATGAAGCAGTGATGGGTGATTATTTTTCTTCTAATTTGATTTTTTTTTAAATTACTTTTATGTATGCCACTTAGGGACGTGTTTCTCTTCTGGGCAGCTCACTCATATAAAATGCCACTCGTCATTGCTGCAAGCCGTGGCCCGCAAACTGAGTATATGAATTAGTGTTGAAAGACGTATTGGATTTGGTAGCACAGACAACTGGGTTATATTCCTTCTAAACTAAGGGGAGTTTGGCAGAGATTTGAAAATAGATAACTTTCCCATCTGTTTCTTGAACTCTCTTGGGTATCCAGTTGCAGAGCTGGTTATTATCGCCATTTGTCCATAATGAGAAATGACCTGACCTCCAAGTGGAAAAAGGATGGCCTGATGATGCATTCACTCACGATTTATTTGTTCTTTCAATGAATGGTTATTGAAGAGCTTCTATGTGCGAAACACTGTTCTAAGTAGTTGGGATACATCAGTGAACCAAAAAACCCTCAAAATTCTTGACCTTGAGAAGCTTACACTCTAGGCCTGAAGTAGGGGAGAAGGTTATCTCAGCAGGATGAAAAGCCACAGCAAAGGCTCTAAGGTGGGAGTGTGTCTGGCATGAGCTTATGGTAACATCACAGTCTGTTTTAGATCCCCCCGTTTTTGTCAGTTTTTTTTCTTGTAAAAATGCAGGTTACTTCTGAGGCAGAGTGCCTGTTTTTGGAATGGCCCGGTGAAACTTTCCAAGTTGAGTGGATTAGGCATCACATAGGGAGTGGAGAGCCTGCAGAGAGGGTAAGGTACAAATGTAAGCTGGGAAATTGGTAAGATAGTATAGCTACCATCTATTGTGTATTTATTATCTGAAAGGGAGGGCTGGCTTCATGGGCCTGCCCCCTGTGCAGTCCCACAGGGCCCCACACTTTGATGCTCTGCTGTCACCATCTTGAGATCCTCAATATTTTTTGAACAAGGGCCCACACGTTTGCATTTTGTAGCAGGTCCCATAGATTATGTAGCTGGCCCTCATGAAAGGCATTGTACTTAGTGCTTTACAAAAATGATGTATCAGTGGGACTTCCCTGGCGGTTCAGTGGTTAAGACTCCGAGCTTCCACTGCAGGGGGCACAGGTTCAATCCCTGGTCAGGGAACTAAGATCCCTCATGCTGCAGGGCACAGCCAAAAATAAAAAGAGGATATCTCAATGATCCAGTGAAGGAGTCATTTTACAGATAAGAAAACTGAGGCTTAATGAGTTTAAGTGACTTGGTAAAAGGTCATTTAAACTCAAGTCTACCTGCCTCCAAAGCCCAAGCTCTTGCCCACTATGCTGTATGAATGAAGGATCCAGACTTAAAAGGAACTGAGTCAGAGGATGGGGAGTCAGAAATTGCTGAGTCTGAGGGCAGCTAATATTTAACTGAGGTGGCAGTGGGGCCACCAACCCTTCCTAGCATGATCACTCTCTTTGCTCTAAATAGGGATTTAGCTACCACACGCATGATTGCTAATGCCCTGTTTTAGCAAAACTGTCACCTACCTGATTTTAAAAATATAGAAGTTGCCCGAGGCTGGGATTGTCATGTCTCCGAGGTGCCTTCTGTGAGCCATCAGGAGCAGTGTTTTTCTCATTTGGTTAGTTCTGAAGAAAAATTCTGGGTCCACAAGGACAGAGGCTTAGAGGAGACAGTTTCAAAGTCTATAAAATAATGAACCACACAGAGCGAATCTGGACTTGCTTATTAGATCCTGAATTATTAGAGCTTTGGGCTTCCTCTTGAAGCTGAAAAAATAGTTCCCATACAGATGAGAGATATAATTTTAAATCAGTGAGTGGTACATTTAGGAAAGCTATTGCTTCTAGAGTGGATACAAGCTAAAACTGGTTTCAGAAAAGATGGCAGATATAAAAATGAGGAGTGTATATATTATGGTTTCAAATCATTGCAAGAAGCCTTGTCCCTTCCCCTAAACCTGCCAGGATGCTGGATGTTTCTAACATTCATGTTGTGTTTCCTGTAAGGTTCTGTGCAAATTACATTTCTGGGAATTTACTGTGGGATTTTGCAATTTAAGGAGCAAAACAGTCTATAAACCTTATCTATGTATATTATTACATGCACTGACTATATCTGGGCGGATGCTCAAGAAACAGATGGCTGATGTTTTTCTGGTAAGGGGACTTGAGGGACTAGAGGTCAAGAGAGGGAAGGAGGGAGAGGGAATTACTTACATACTATCCCTTTCGTACTGTTCAAACTTTTACCTCCTGAAAGTATTTAGGAAATGAAAAATGACAACTTAAAGGCACCACATAAAACTGGACTAGGGGTAATTTTAGCCTGCATTTCCTTGGGGAGAGAGGGGTTTCTGGTGCTCACTCAATACCACCAGCGTTGGTGGAGGCCTTGGGTAATGAATAGAGGAAGCAGGAGTGCTTGCTGGAAAAGGGCTTTGAGGATGGAGGATTAACAGTGGGTTTGTGTATGACAAACTTCATGCTCTTGGTAATTTTCTTATAGCTCAGTTTAGCAATCTGGAAAAGAGGGATTTTATCAATTTTTGCAAGGATTATTTTTTTTAAGGTATACAATAGGATACCTTTTCTTTGCAAAGATAATGACAGAGGTTCTGCTTGGTATTTCATTTTATTTTATTGAGGTATAGTTGATTTACAATATTATGTTAGTTTCAGGTGTACAGCACAGCGATTCATTTATATATATATATGTTTTTTTTCTTTTTCCGATTCTTTTCCCTTATAGGTTATTACAAAATGTTAAGTATAGCTTCCTGTGCTATAAGAAGGTCCTTGTTGGTTATCTATTTTATATATAGTAGTGTGTATCAGTTAATTCCAACCTCCTAATTTAGTTCTGCTTCTTTTAAATACTAAATTCATGTAAATCCAGTTCTTTGTAGAATTATTAGTGGTTATGCGCTTAAATTTTATATCCAATTGGTTCTTAAAATGAAATGACTGAGCCTAGAGGGTGGTAGGTGAGGTGTTAAGAGTAGGTTCCACCTGCCTGGTGAGCAGATGTGAAGGCCATCTGGCTTCCACATCCATCGTGATTGCCGGAAGGTGGATGGCAGATCTGAGAGGCTGGTGGTTTCCCCTTCCTGTCGGGGGCCCAGAGACTTGATAGGGCTCCCGTGGGATATGGGAGCTTTTGGTTTGATGTTCACCTCCTATTGTTGGCCTCTGGCCAGATTCTGAGTGGGACTCTGGGTCCTTGTGGCTTGAGAAATCATTACTTCTGGTCACCTGACCTCCACCAATTGAATAAAGGTAATGAGTCCCAGTAGGAGACAGAATTGTGAAGTCAGTATAATTTGTCTTCAAGGCCCTACTTCACCTTTCTTCACCTTCACTCCTTTCATGTTTCCCTCGC